CAGCAAACAAATCTTTTATCGGAAAATGGGATAATCATCCTTTAATACAGAAATAAAAGCATAAAAAGTCAACCAAAATACTCATGAAGCAAACTGCATGGTACCTGATAACCTTAATCAATTTTAAATACATTGAAGCCCTACAAAGGCATATGCTTATATAATAAAAAAAGTTATATTTTTCTTTTTCAATTAGCTCCCTTAATATTACTTACTACTTTATTATCTTTATAATACATTATTTTTTAAATGACTTTAGACCTAGTTAGTTTATTTCCAGATGTTCATGCTCATCGCTTCTGCATTCAACAAACCAGACAAATAATAGCACCTTGACAGAGTCTTGGTCTTCATCAGACTGCTCGTAGGTGTCCTCGGGTAGGAAGTTCCACGGTGAGCGAGCATTCTGGGCCGCATATAGCTGCCAGCGCCAGAGGGACAGCGGGCAGTAGGTGAGCCTCAGAGGGAGTTTGGTAAGGCTCTCGTTGATAGGATAGTAGTCCTTCTGAAGGTTCCAGTAATCATTGAAGTATACAATGGGGTAGTAGTCTCCACTGACTGCATCAAACTTAACATCTGGTATCAGACAGGAGAACAGAAACGTCACATGTAAAAGCAAAAATACTAGGAAGCTGTTCATGTCAGACAATAACAGCAGGAAGTGAAACTCACATTGGTCTAGAGGGGGTGGAACAGAACCCTTTACCCAGGCTGTGTGATCATCTACCATGTTGATGGTGAGGTTAGGGTGCCAGTGTGAGATAATCTCCACTGGGCCGTGGCTTTCTGCCCGCTGTGAGGAAATAAAGGAGACATTTCAGTCCTCTGGGCACTCCGACCTCCCCACCATTCGTTCAGAAACATGACGGGGGCGTTAACTGATCTCTCCAATAGTGAGTGTAAAATTGACACCTTTTTCTCTGTGTCATCCTGAGAACTTCCTTAGATCATAGATTAACATGACCAGATAATAGATGGATAGACATCTGTTGTCTGTCTGCATTTTTTGTATGAATAATTTGCTTTGAATTTGTTTTAGAATTATATAGAGGAGACATTTGAATTGAGAAAGCTTCCTGGAGAGGTGGCGAAACGTCTTCAAATCTTGAAAACCAAGTCCAGTGGATATTTTTTGAATTTTTACGGAATGACTATGACCTGGATGACTGAGAACCTTCATCAGCATATATAGAGGACTTTGTTTGTATAAAGTTCTGTAAAATGATTTACAAATCAAGCTTAATTACACATTTTCTGGCTTGGTTTTATTATTACTTTGAATAATACTCCAACATGTGGAATAACCTCCCCTTTAAAAAGGGGTTGTCAGCTGAAAAACTGCAAGGGTTGGCACATTTTTTGTACTGGGTGACAGTTCACCTTGATCATTTCAGGATCTGCTTCAGTTTCTCCTGTGAGCAGATTCTTGGTTTTCAGAAACTTCCTCCTCTTGAATTTATTGAGCACTGTGAAATGGAAAAACAAATGAGTATAAACATAATACAGGTAAAAGTTAGCAAAGGTTATTTAATTGGTGGATTCCTGGTCCTTACTTCTTGATGAATGCACTGTTGCCAGTCTGCGGTACTGCCCCTTGCGTTTCGGGTCAGGGTGGAATCCACTTTTAGTGAAGAAGACATGGATGTAAAGGGAGCCGTTCTGTTGTACTTTCTGTAATTAGCCACCAAAAATACATTCTGGGTCAAAAACAAAAACTTATTTCTCAAGCACCCCTCCTGAGATACCCCTACCTCTGAGATTTCTAACTCTTTATTGTGGTGGTAGCAGCCATCTCCACTCTCCCCTGTGGTCCAGTCTCCATAGACCAGGTCTCTGTTGAACCAAAACAGGGCATCTGTATTGTTGAAGTCAGTGAACACCTCCTCCTGGGACACATACACGTACAGGTCCTGCAGGCACGGTGAGAAAAGAAAGGTGTTTATCACATTACAGCATCAGGAGAGCTGTTAGCATAATAGTTAGGGTCCAAGCACTTTAGGGATCACAATATAAGTGCTGTTCAGGAATTAAGGTCTTGAGGTTTACAACATTTAGGGCTATGTTCAAACTGCAAGCAAATGTGACAAAATTCTAATCTTTTCACCGCCAAAACAATCAAAATTCACCACTTCCACATGTGGCACTAAATTGGATTTGTATCCAATATTTTCTTAAAGCGTCTGTGGTCTAAACGGTCATGATACATTTGGTCTGACTCACTTCATCATCCAGGCTCCGACTACTCATTCATACAGACTGCTCTCCAATACAGCAGTCACTGCTCCACAAAAACACATTATAAATAGCTCATCCTCTTTTTTATTACCGTTCATCTTATTATGTGATCATTATATCGTCAGCTCCAATTGTTCAAGAACTTATAATGACCACAGAGATGCTTATATCTGTAGCTGTGTGAGGTCTACACTGGCCATTCAGGCCATGAACCATTCAGACTTTAATCTGAAGATGGCTGCATTTATGCAGTTTTCTTAACGACCTTGCAGGAAAAAAAAAAGGAATCTCGGCAAACCAATCAGAATTGTGCATCAAGACCTACAGTGTGAGTGTAGCCCAATACTTTTTAATATTTATGGGTCTGGGGAAGCTATACATAACATAAAATAGACTTTATTCATCTCACAAAGAAGAAATTCACTCAAAAAATGAAGGGAGAAATTCAAAGGAGTGGATTTTTCCTTTGTGAGATCAGTCAAGTGTATCTCATATCTGCTAGATCTTAACTTTTTTAAATGGAAAATAAACTGATAAATATAACTTATATTCACATTTCATAAGAATCAAACTTAAAAAGAAATAAAAAGTAAACACAAATGAAAAACATAATATATAAAAATAAATATATGTTACTTGTTTAGATCCTTTCATATCTGTAAATTTGGAATAAGGATAAAAACATCAAGAAAATAATAGATCAAAAGTGGAAACAGGGTGAAGAAGAATAATGTACCATGAGGGTGTCTTTAGGAAACAGGTTCCTGCTGGGTACTCTGGGGGCCCCTGCTGGTGTGTTCGGATCAGGAGTGGATGGCCCTCTGCGGAACCAACTACTGATTGCCCAAATTATGAAGATTCTGGAGAAGAAAGTAATATCAAAACAGTGAAAATGTTATTTAGGTTAAAAAGTTTAAAGGTAGAAACAGTATAACATCTAGAAAGAAGAAGTGTCTTTTTAATTCAGTTAGGGGGGAATCAATACTGCATGACTACATTTAAGTGACTGTAATAATAATAATAATAATAGTATTTTTTGCTTACTCTAAAACTAAAACTTTTTCTTTTGGTGTAAACATGCTGTGCTTTAAATGTCTTTGCCTAAACAATCCCTTCCCATTAAACCTTATATGTAATCAGAAAAAAGAAAAAATCAAATGCAACTAAAGCCTAAGAACTGGAAAAAACAAATTCCAAGTGCAACTTACAGACAACACCAAAAAAGATAGACCCTTTATAAGACAGTAACTAAAGAGATCAATTTTTAACCATGAAAAAAATAGTCGATACTTGAATCTATTTTTTTATGTGGGTTACGCAAATGAAGATGGAAGAAGGGGGACTATTGTGTGTTAAAAGAACATTTGGGCCTGTTAGAAAATACAGAAAATAACCATGTCTGGAAATATAAATGGGGAAATCAAAAAAAGAGACTGTCAAAAAGTTTACTGTTCCAAGATCAGACCTATTTTTTAACCGCTTAATTCCGAAAAGCAAAGTTCTTTTGTCCGTCTCTAAAGACGATGACTCAGATTAGAAAGACAGAAAGAAAGACTAGAATCTGTACAAAGATCTGGAACAGAAAGAACCAAGAGCTGGCTGAACTAAAGCCCATTATTCTCCATCAAATCAATTTAATTTGGACAGTGACTATTATGAACGCAATGCATTACCTTTCATTAAGCAATAGAATCTCGTTTATTCAAAAAACGTACCTAAAGAGGACACCTTTGATGACCTGCCAGGCATTAGGTGCTTGCTGCTGCTGCTGAGGGTCCTGAGCATTTTCAGCCGTCTGCACAGTTTGACCTTCTGCCGTTGCAGCGCTTCCATTGCTGCTCACCTACAAACACACATAAATAAGATATAATACACCCAAAAGAAGAGGGTTCATTGATGATCTAGCAGTGAACATTTCCCTGGAAGGAATACCAGTATTAGTGTAAAATACTGTCAATAAAAGTCAGATTATGCAGAAAACCTGTTACTACTACTGTACTCAAAGCTTAACTTATAAATTAGATAAGGACAAAGGAATGAAGGCCGAGAATTTAGTTGCATTTGCAATCAATACTGCAATTTAATAAAACACAAATCAAATTTGCAGAGGCACTCAATAATGGTCACATTACATTTAACAAGAGTAAGACACCAAAATGTACACTTCCATCCTTTAGGAGGCAGTAATACACTTTAAAGTGGTTTTGCCACCACACAGAAGAAAGGAGAGTTGAACCCAGAGCAAAGCAGTTTTCCTCACAACAGCAAAGTCCTGCAACAATGGACTCTGGACAAACAAGCTTTCAAGGTCATGAAAGCAATGAAACCCTGCAGTGAAACGTCTACAAGCTTGTAGTTAGGGCAAAGGAAGATAAAAATAGAACACAATCACAATACTGGTGAAAATATAAAAAAGAAAATTCACAACTTTGACCTTTTGCAAAGTCTTTCAGCACTAAAATGCATGGTGGGAAATTCTCCCTTTAAAAACATTTTCTAAAAATTCATACATGCATAAAACTTAATTAGAAACTAAAAACTTTATATTAACTACCACTTCCATAACTTTTCCTCTTGTTGATCTGAAAAAAAAAATAATAAAAAGGAGCTATGATTTATAATAACTGATCTTTCTTAGAGGTAATTCTAAGCAAGATTTTGACGCATATCCGCGTTAACTATAACACGCAGACGACCTGGTTTCTGAGCATAAACCAGGAAGCATTCTACTTTAAGGTTTAGGAGCATGTTTATGGGAAATTTTGTCAATTCTTTCAGAAACACGTCTAATAGCTTGGTCAGTCTATGGTCTAAAATATTCTTAAGAGAGCTCAATTAAGATGGTCTCAGGACAACATGTCTAATGTTAGAAGAGAAATTTCCAAACCCTTCGCACAAAGATGGGAGCATGAAACTGTCCCAAATCTGTTGGAATGCTGAAGAATTTAGTTCCTTCCAAAGGAACTAAGAGGCCAACCCCCAACAAAGGATCACACAATATAGTTGCTGTCTTTCCCGATCACATATACCCCTTTCCCACTGGCCGAAAAACCCAATTAAACCTGGGAACAATCAGCTTTTAGTGGCAGTGGGAACAGTTCCCTGACATGTGTCTACCCGGGTCAAACAACTCGGCAAGCGACCCGTGTTAAAATCGCCTCGGCTCTGATCACCATACTGAGGGAAAACCAGACCCGGGTTAACCCGCTAATTTAAGTGACACCATTGAACGCAACGTACGGACGTCAACACAACAAAACAACTCTGATAACTTTTGTTAAATATGGCACAGCGCTAGTAAGAGAGATTTGGAAAGATAATAGAACAAAATAATAAAGTACAATTACTACACCCTGACTTCCTTACATGTTGCTCTCCATTGTTAACTTTAGTGATTTATGTCGCATGAGTGATATCTCCAACACTAACACACAGTGATGGTGTCACCAGACTTAGTTGGTCCACCCATGTTTGAAAAACACCTGTAAACCCTCTATATTCAGTGGGAAAGAAGCTTCACAGTTTGTCAAGATATCAGTGAAATTTAATAGTGGAAAATTTAGGGCTGACAGTCTCATGACTAGTCTTCTTGCACAGGTGGCATCTTATCACAGTATCGCTACAATTCACTGAGCTCCTGAGAGCGATCCATTCATTCCTAAATGTTTTGTAGTTACAATTAGAATGCCTGGGGCTTCATTTTAAACAACTCTGGCCATGAAAGTAATTGGAAGACTTGATTTGAATTATTCACTTAGATTAATTAATACTTGTGGGTACATAGTATATATATATATATGACCTCCAGTTCATATTCATTTGAAAGTCATAGTGGCTGTAAATGATCAGTAAAACCAGTTATTAGTGGTCACCCAATCTGCAGCGTGCCAATGTAACCCCCACCTCTCTGGCCATATTCTATTCAAGTGTCACAATAGAATGAGACATGCTAAGTCATGAGACTTATTCACTATCTAAGCATCTGTCCGGTTGTTACAAACATTAGGGAAACCAATGGCTGGCTAAAAATTTTATCTGTTTCAACAGGTTATGTTTTTAGATTGCAAAGGCAACAAGAAATGTGAAGATTTAAAGTTTCCAACTAGCTTTGTTACATTTGAAACCTCTTCATTCAAATCTATGAAGGGGACATAAATAAAGCTTTTCATCCCTGCTCCAACATCCTGCTATGTGAAATTAAAACAAATCCAATTATCCGGTGCATGGACTTCTGTTTCCTGGACTGGACTGGAAAAATCCAAAAATACACTCAACTATAGAGAGAAAGAAAAAAGAAAAGTTCTCTCTTCACCTTAAGATAATAAATTACACATTCTGAACAAAGTTTAATTATTAACTAGGCCATCTTAGACTTCTAGGTAAATGCCTCACATTAGTTTTACCATTCTATCTGGGATTAAAAGAGGACAAACTTTTAATAACCATTCAAAAAAGGAAAGAGTTTCTATGTAATATTTAAAACAGACTAAACTAAAATTCTCTCACATCCTGTTGGAGTGTAAAACAGATCATCAAGATAGATAAAATACATAGTCATTATCCCTAAAGACTCCATTTGGATTCCTAAACATGCAAAGTTTTCTTGTCTTTATAGCTGAAACTTAAATTTTGACATTTTTAGAAACACAGAAACCTTTTTTAATCTGTCTGAGACTTAGTATAATTAAAATACAAGAGATTTACAAAGGTTTTAAAGATCGCAAAAAGCTAAACCAGGTTCATCGACTATGCCATTTCATCTATTGGTGAGATATGATGCCACGTCCCAGACTCCAGCACACAGGAGTAGAGGCTTAATGTAGTGATTCACAGTGACCTTTAATGACATGTTTGTTCTGCAAAAAACTGCCCCTTAGAGACAAACTACATTTATTAGGCATAGGTAACAACTATGAGGCTAAGGGGTTTTTAAAGCAGGATATCTAAGTTGTTTGTAAAGTCTATAACTGTCATTATTCGCCTTTGAATGTCTTTGGAAATACTCTGAAAATAGCTCATATATATATATATATATATATATATATATATATATAAAATTTCATATTTTTATTCAAAGCCGGATTCTTTTTCCTCTTAATATTTAGTTTATTTTGTGCAAAGTGTCCTGGCGTTTCAGGAATTGGTCAGGAAGATTCCTAACAAATATTTGTATGAATTAAGAAACCCTTATATCCCATTAATAGTGATACCCAATTACCATGTCAAACCTTCAGACTTTCGGTGGGGAAATATTCCAGTAGATTTTATTTGTACATTTTATTTTACATTTCAGTGCGAAACAATTACTATAAATGCACAGACTATTGAAGAAAGAAGGTTGGCTATTTTTGTTATTCAATGTTCTAAATCAAATATCTAAACTTTTACTTTATTTAGTTCATTCTATTAAATTATTTTCCAACCTAAAGTAAAACAATAAAGTCCTATGCAACAAAAATAATTATGGCAAAATATCTGCATGGACTTTTCACTAAATGTTTTTATTGTAAACTAAAAATGTTTTTTTTTTTTTTTTGTAATGAGAAAGAAGGGGAAAAAACACTAAAGGTATTAATTATCTCCCCCCTGCTAGCTTGTGTAATTTATCCTTAGCAATCAAAATGATCAACCAGCCTAATTTAAATGTTGCCCTTTCAGAGAAAAAGGTTTAACATAAACCTTTTAAAAATGTTTGTGGTATGATTCCTTTCAGGCTCAATCCCACAGAAATTAAACCGATTTAAAGTCTATATGCCAAAAAAAGCACTGAAATTGTCTATTTGTATACATTTCACAAGCCATAAATGGTCTTCAAAAATTATAGCTATATGTTCTAGGATAAACTGGAACTAAACTACAGAACCTAAGCTATGCCCTTACTTTTTCATTACGGAGACTGCGTAGGAACCTTGTTAGGCAATATATGGCTAAGCTACATCTGGTTATTTCATCTGATCAGCCTTATTACCAAAAGTGTCTGTCAGGTGAACGATCAACTTGGAGATTGAGGAGAAAATTAACATGTGAGAAGATTTAACTGGAGGCTGAAATGAGTGGGAACACACTGGCCCAGTTAATCAAACCATGCTGTGCTGATCAGGTTCAGGCCTTGTGATAGCTAACTGTCACGCTGCGGTTGTCAGCTGGTTAAACACTGACACGAGCAACTCAACAGACTGTCGGGATTATGCCAATATAATATTTTTTCACTGTAAACACCACATTTACCCAGTATCTCGACTAGCTAACAGCACCGGTTTCACAACCGACCGTAAGCGGCGACGGGAGGTCGTTTTAAAACCAACCGGCACTGACAACGTCACTGAAGCTAGCGAGCGCAGCGACCGCTGACACGGTTAAATGTTAGGGACTCAAGCTTCTACGTTAAAACAGTAAAACAGACTATAGCTACCCGAAACTATCAAGCAAAAAACAACTGAGCGACTGTCATTAATTTTACCTCTCCGTTGCTTGCGGAAGGTTTAGATGAATCGCTCCCCTGCGTCGCCATCTTTCCTCGTCTCTATCGCGCAAACACCACTTGCTGGTTGGGAAAACTGCGCCGAGTCTCGCGAGACGTCAGTTGTATCGTCATCGGAAGGATGGATATCAGCAGTGACTATGGCAGGCCGAATTGACATTTATTAGAAGCGACGTCCTTCCATTCGTTGATCTCTAAAATAAGATTCTTTCTAGTCAAAACTACATTCCTACTAGCAAGAAATGTACATATAGATATTCAAAATTACATTTTTGCTAGCAAAAATTACAATTCAGGCTGCCAAGAACATAATCGTACTAGTAAGAACAAACTTTCAAATACTTACAAATCTACAAATTTTAAGTGGCCCTTTAGACATTTCTTAGCTTGGCTGAATATATTTCAGGTGTCTCAAATGCATTTCTTCCTAGTCAAAATGAACATTTCAGATATCTAAAATAACATTCTTCCTGTGTGTTAGAACAATAGATGAGTGATTCGAGCACTAATCGAGGTCAAACAGTTAATTCTGCACACACGGAATAAATTCACCACAACTTCTGTTCAAAATATAAGAGTTTATTAACAAAAATCATTTAGCTCCAAGTCAAACATATTTCAGTTTAACACTCTAAACTAAGACTAGTAAAACTCAACTAAACTAAACTACTATGTACAAAGAGGAAGGGAAAACATGGTTGGAAACCATATTACAGTTCAAGATGGATTTTGTGTTTGAAACCATAGTTTATCTGGAAGAATTTGGGATATGATCAAATTAGCTTTTCACTAATTTTAAAGAAATTGGAATGTTTTCAGACCAATTCACCATGAGGTGAATAAAACATTATTTGGCCAAATAATGTTTTATTGAATGATTTGCTTAATCAAGAACCAAAAACCTTTAGTCAACTGATTCTTTACCCTCTTTGAAATAGCTAGCAGCGAATAGACATCAGGATTCCACTAAATGACTCTTGGTCACACTTAGTAATAGAAATGTAATGAGCAGCTGAGGAACACTAATGTTATACCAGTGTTTAAACCCTTTTGTGAAATAAAGCTTGTCAAAGATTCAGCAACAGCTCAACACATATTCCTGTAGCATGGTGTAGCATGCAGTCTATTCTGTTAGCTTGACTTTACTCATCAGTAAACACATGTTGTTTGTTCTGTCCCAAATCATGCCAGACCTGCAAACCTTTTTCCATTTCCATTTGGAGAGCTTAAGTTTCATCCAGTTGCAGCTCAGCACTAAGGACAGAGACCAGGGGTTCTTTGTCTCAGTCGTTCATCAAGGCACTCCTTCTCTCCAGTCTGGCTCTATAAGTTCTGAAACTCAAGAGAAATGTGTTGCAAAAGGTCTGTTTTGCAGCAGTTTGGTTCTGAAAGGTTCGGACTTATCCTTGATGGTTCTGGAGATCTGGTTCCCGCATCTCCACTGTGGTGGAGAACCAGCTAAAGCGGACCCCAGCTTCCTGGGCAAGGGAGAGGAGGCAAAGAGCACAGGAGGCAAAAAGAAAAAGAATTTTTGTGCTCTGTGATTTTGTCTGTCCTCAACCAGACGGGGGTGGTGGTTGGTCACACCTCTATGACTTGCCATGTGACTTGCCTGTAGAGGCCTTGGCTGAAACAGGGTTGTTGCAGAGATTCCACAGCTGATTTCACATCATCATGTCAAAATGAAATGTGGACACTGGTTCCCAATGACCAAAAAGTATGATCCTGGCATATGGCGCAACAATAATAAATGTCAATATGCCCTGCCATAAGCGTCTGGATATGCAAAAAGCTGAGTGGCAAAACGCAGTTTTTGAACTTAAAAAAAAAATTAGCATTTCCTTTATGTATATCTGGTCAGTACATATTTTTGGTAGTTAATTTTAATCGGATATGAGTTCTGAAAACAAGTGTCTTTGTATCTTTTATTTTCAAATTTATTTTATAAAAATGTATCCACTCTGCAGTAAAAAAAAGGATTAGAAATCCCCTTTATTTAATCTTAATGCTTAAATTAAGATATATTTTAAAAGATAACCGGTTAAGCCAAGCTACATTTTACTTGAGTTTACTTGAGTCATCGTTACAAAATTGTTTTGACGGGGGGTTTTGAGTGTCAATAGTATTAATGGCACAACCATCCATCCATTCATCCACCCCCCTGCTGGGGTCACTAGGGGTGCTGGTGCCTATCTCCAGCTTTCAATGGACGAGAGGAGGGTACACCCTGGAGAGGTCACCATTCTTTCAAAGGGCAACACAGAGACAAACAGGACAAAACCATTTACGCACCTAAAGAGAATTTAGAGATGCCAATCAACCTAAACAGTCTTTGGGAGGAAGTCAGACTACCTGGGGAGAACCCACACATGCACATGCAGAACATGTGACCCTCCATGCAAAAAGAGCCCAGATGGGCAATCAAACCCAGGACCTTCTTGCTGCAAGGCGGCAATGCCACCCACTGTGTCACTGTGCAGCCCTAATGCCACACCATAGATTTTAATTTACACTTTTGCAAAACTATTAGTAAAACTTTTGTTTTTTTCTCCTCTAATCAACTTGCTGGTCTGCTCTGTCCAATTCTATGATCAAGTTCCCTCGGGGTTAAGATCTGAAAGTGAAGGCCAAACCACCAACAGGATCTTTGCGTTATTAATGACCCCTCCTGGCAAGGTTTTCCTTCTTCAACTTTACCCGCCCCCCCCTTCTTTTGTAGAGACTACCTAAAGTCAAAAAGCCTTAAAATAACCAACTCCTTCTCGAGTAAGTCTAATATCTTATTTAACTGAATTATGTACTTGCTCAGCAATTGTTGTTCTAGAAACTTTAATACATAAAAAACATATGGAGATAAAGGCCATATTCACCAAATCAATCTTTCAGTTAGTAAGAATTGCAAACATAATTCACTCATAATAGAAAGTCAAATAATTAACGAAACGATTTTGATCATGTGTAGTCTTTATTAATAAGGGTTATCCTTTGGCACACTTTGTCACCAGCACCTTAGATCAATGTTGAATATTAATCAAAACTGAACCTTAAGGAAAAGAGGATTTCACATTTGCTTAAATTAAACAGTATGTTCGTTTTTATGTATAAGACAAGCAAACGTACAAAATAAAAAAAAATAAAAATGCATCATTGTTCAACACTTGACAACTTGTTATGGAGGAACCTGCAGGTAACAATATCAGCTGCATGACTGTGGATGTGTGGGACAGAGTGGTGACATGAGACAAAGCAGCCATGTTGTCAGATGGGAAATATTGCATGTCATGTTTTTTTCTTTTTTAAACAAAGCGCAGTAGTGTAGCAAAAGTTTTCACTCAAGCAAATACAACAATTTTGATGCATTTCCTGCAAGTTGCTCAGTTTAAAATGCAAATATCCACTGCCTGCAGCTTTCATTTAACCTCACCAATGATCTAAAGATGCCAACACAGACTGGGATGACCCTTTTAACTGTCAAAGTACGGTTAGAGAGAATTTTAGACTTGACAGTTATACAAGCAAATTACAAATAAACAATATACAGTTCTTAAAGATTAAGTCTGTTCTTTTGTAGAACTACACAGAACTCTATTTAGACAGTTGCTAAGCTGTAAACAAAGTATGACAGCAACTAAGAAACATTAAAAAAAATACATCGGAACAAAAAAAAATCTTCTGTGAAAACCTTTCAATTTGACTAGTTTTTGATAACTAATCTATTTTAAGATCACAAATGACAGTCTTGCCATGCTGCGATGAAAAAACCTCCAGCTAAAGTGCCTTTAAATCATGCCATCCACAGAAGAACATGAACCATTGTTATGATGAATTATCCTACTTCCTCTCTGTCCAGTAAGTGGAACTGAGATTTTAAAAACAACAACAAAAAAAAGCATAAGGAAACAAACATCCACAACGGTTTTAAATCTCATCTAAGCCGTAATCCTCCTCAGGAAAGTCGCCCACTGTTACACTCAGTGGCTTCACAAATGCCCCGTATTTCTCCTGACACTCAAAGTACTGTTTCCCCTGAACACTGGAGACACAATAAAAAACATGATTAGAATGAAATATGCAGTTACAATTGGTTACAATTTGTTGTTATATAAACAGGGGAGGAAAAATAAATCTTACGTTCCGTTGTGTTTTCCCAGAGGCTCATCATACTTCACACCTACCCAATGACCTGGCTTGAACTCTGTAGTACCTGAAACAGCACATTTTTCTTTATGAAATCACATGAAACTAATACACCTTACAATGTTGATCTCAATTAGACCTGGCATAATAACTCTTGGACAAAACATTGTCCCAGACATTATTGCAATAAATTATAATTTAATACTTTTTTCAACTAACATAATGATAATGGTAAAATAATGCAAATAGTCTTGTTTTTTTTTTTTTTTTGGTTTGTTTTTTTTACATTTAACAGAGAAACTGGAAGACAATTAAAATAATACTCCACAATAAAATGATCAAAACTAAATAATAACCTGAACTCTCACTCTTGGCTAACAAATAAAGATATTTACTTTCATGGAAACCAAAGAAATTCATTTATGACAAAATTGAACTGGTAACAGCAGTCTGTTAAGTCTCTGTAAACAAATAAGCTCAATGAAAAATATTATTCATTATTCTCAGACAACAAAAATAGACAAAACTACCAGTTTAATAAACAAAACCTGCATACCAAGAACAAAAGAACATTAAATAAATGTTAATGCTTTACTGGCAATATGTATATTACCGAAGCAATCCTTGCTGATTGACAGGCGTCATATGTTTGCGAAATATTTTGAAATACCGGCTTTTCGAAATTAAAGGGAAGTATCGCTCTAAATATTAAACCGCACTGTCTGTTAGGGTGTACTATTTTGTACTGCTCTTTTTGAGTTTGTTGATTAATTGGTTCCATGGTTTATTGTTTTTTACCCCACACCTGGGAAAACAGCAGTGAAGGATTACATTTTAAGTTTTAAGTTGCATTCAGACCAAATGGGGAGTTCACTGCTCTGCATTTCAGAAGCAGTGCTCACACCCTGAACTGTATCATCAAATAGGAGGAGCTTCAGCTGCATGAAGCCATCTCCCCAACCAGAATAAAAACTCAACAAATAGACTCTGTGGTTAGTGCTACCTTAGAGAGGATTTGTCCAGTCAAAATGATCATTTGTAAAAATGGAGAAAAAAAAAAAGACGAGTGCTACTGTTGTTTCAGAGATATTAAAGATGATCTTTTAGTTCACCCAGAGGTCAACCATCCCCCCATTAAGCTTAGAACTGAATCAAAATGATCTACTTTTTCAGTGCTACTTGGTTTGTGCAGGTAAAACTATGTTTGTTCTGATTTGTTTTTTAAGATGGAATCCTTTTTAATTTCGGCCGATGACGTCACCATCCCAGCAGACGTTAGCGTTGCACTGGAATCAGAACATACAATTTTTGTATAAAAGGACGTGTTATCGGTATTGAATACAATAGTGGGTATGTTTACTTATTTAGCGGGTGGATTGATTGTTTAACATTTTTATTAGTTCATCAGCATCCCAGATTTTTCAGTTTGGACCTGACGTCAGCGTCGGCCACCCCACAGGCTTTCCTGATAAGATCTCGCTGTCAGCATTTCAACACACAAGTTCAGCTTAACATTATAGACTGCTGCTAAATTGTTGCCTATGCACAACTTTTAAAACAGCTTAGAGAACTCTTTGAGAAAAAAAAAAAAAGAAAATTGAATGAAAGTCGAATTTGGTGGTACTTCATTGTAAATCTACCTGTGCAGAGAGCACCAATGCTTGGCAGTAATAGACCAGGGTCTGTGCTGGAGGTAAGGGAGGACAACAAACAGTCCTTGTAGGGCTAAATGAAAATATCTTTTTTTAAAGTCACTGAAAAACCTCTTCAGTGCATTCCTCATTTCACCCTTTGTCAACACCATCTTCTCTTTATTCCATTTTAACTGAAAAACTCATATAACTACAACCAGTCCCTGATTGCCACTTCATATTTTCAACTTCATCTGTCATCCCTCCACTCCCAATGCAGTGCTGCTGTTGAACCCCAGTTCTATCGAGGTGAGAGCAGAGCAGTTAACGCTCTCAGCTCATGGGATTCACCACCCCTCCCTGATGAGCTGACAGCAAGTCTAATGTAAAGTTCATTTTATTTCTTATTGATGTAAACTTAGCATCCCATCTTGACAGAGAAAAAACTAATGTAGAAAGTTTTGCAAATTTATTAAAAAAGAAAAACTGAAATATCAAATGGTCATAAGTATTCAGACCCTTTGCTCAGTATTTAGTAGAAGCACCCTTTTGAGCTAGTACAGCCACGAGTCTTCTTGGGAATGGTGCAAAATGTTTTTCACAGCTGGATTTGGGGATCCCATGCCATTCTTCCTTGCAGATCCTCTCCAGTGCTGTTAGATTGGATGGTTAGCATTGGTGGACAGCCATTTTAAGGTCTCTCCAGAGATGCTCAACTGGGTTTAGGTCAGGGTTCTGGCTGGACCAGTCAAGAATGGTCACAGAGTTGTTCCCAAGTCAATCCTTTGTTATCTTAGCTGTGTGCTTAGGGTCACTGTCCTGTTGGAAGGTGAACCTTCGGCCCAGCCTGAGGTCCTAGGCACTCTGGAAGAGATTTTCTTCCAGGATATCTTTGTACTTCATTCATCTTTCCTTCAATTGCAACCAGTCATTCTGTACCTGCAGCAAAAAACACCCCCATAGAATGATGCTGCAACCACCATTGGGATTGTATTGGGCAGGTGATGTGCAGTGCTAGGTTTTCTCCACACATACCGCTTAGAATTAACACCAAAAAGTTTGATCTTGGTTCATCAGACCAGAGAATCTTCTCATAGTCTGGGAGTCCTTTTAGTTTTATGGCAAACTAAATGGGGCTTTCATATGTCTTGCACTGAGGAGATGGTTCCGTCGGGCCACTCTGCCTTAAAGCCCCGACTGGTTGAGTGCTGCAGTGATAGTTAACTTTGTGGAACTTTCTCTCATCTCCCTATTGCATCTCTGGAGCTCAGTCACTGTGATCTCTGGGTTCTTCTTTATCGCTCTCAACAAGGCTCTTCTCCCACAATTGCTGTTTGGCTGAACGACCAGGTCTAGGAAGAGTTCTGGTCATCCCAAACTTATCCCATTTAAGGATTATGGAGGCCTAGAGTGCTGCGGAAATTCGTTTGTAACCTTGGCCAGATCTGTACCATGCCACAATTCTGTCTCTGAGCTCCTTAGGCAGTTCCTTCTATCTCATGGTGCTCTTTTGGTCTGACATGCACTGTGAGCTGTACGGTCTTATATAGACAGATGTGTGCCTTTCCTAATCAATCCAATCAGTTTAATTAAACACAGTTGGACTCCAAGAAGGAACAGAACCATCTCAAGAAGGATCAGAAAAAAAATGGACATCATGTGTCACAGCAAATGGTCTGTATACTTATGACCATGTGATATTTCAGTTTTGCCACTCTCCATCACATCTAGAATCTCACACCAAAACCTTCATCAGGTGTGGGCATCAAGGGCAGGAAGTCAACTCGGATAGTGTGTACAATTTGCATCACGCTCGAAATATAAGCATCTGCCAACTGTTATGTCCAAGCAATCTTTTATGATTGTTAATTAACGGTTTATTCAAATGGTTTAATGAATAACATCTGCCTAGAGATGGACCTTCTTCACAGTATCATTGTGGTCCAGAAGAGGGCAACACTGTTCATCCTAAAGCAAAGTCACACACACAGCATCTAGAGCTGAACTAAAAATCAACTGGAAAGGGAGTCTGGTCCAGTGCAGTGTGGGAATATGTGAAACTGCTTAATCTGCTTATTTACATTCAGCCTACTGTAGAAAATTAGCCAAACATGTTATGGAAAGAAAACTCAGGATTTTAAGAAAATGGCTGCTTATAAATCAGGCGTTAGCCGGACAAATAGATCAACTTTAGATGAACTTGTATGAGAGCTTGTGTCCCTATTGCACACGATAATAATAATGGAAATTCAACTGATTGAGCAGCTCCAATTAAGACAAGAGCATATATATAGTCTGGGAGTTATGTTTTAATATCAACCACAAACCCAAATGAATTTCTTTTCCTGTTAAGAAGAAAATCTATAAATCAAAGGTTTGCATCAAGAAGACCAAATACATTTAATAAATACTTACCAACATACATAACTGTGCCCAGTTTTGTGGGTTGCCCAGGGACCTCCACTTTGCAGCGGCTGCCGACAGAAATGGCCTCAGCCGCTGCCTTCTGTTCTTGTTCCTGATTGGCGAGCTCAGCTTTCTTCCTGGCAACTTCCTCCTCATTGTAGCGTCCCAATTGCTGCTTCTTTAAGAATGACCGCACGGATTCTAAAATAAATATATTAACATTTTGTTATATTGAACAACACTGATCAAAGCCAATAGCAGTACATCCAGTCTTAGAACATTGTCTCCTCTAGTTATATTTAGTTAAGTTGTTTTTTTCTCTAAGCAAACAAGCAGGCAAATATCTTAAATATGAATTATTTTACTATAAAACCGACTAGCTATTGTTTGGGTGATGAGTACCTGTCCGCTTCTCATAGGCATCATCTGGCAGCTCAAACTTTTCCACTTTGGAACTATCAAATAACTCGCTTGTTTTTCCACTTCTATCAGTAACCTGAAAGAGAAACAATGATACAGCAACATCTAGTAAGCATGATTATACAGCAGCCTGCTACTCTTACTTCTTACTATGAAAAAAGAAAAGAAAAAAATCGAGCGTAATTATCTGACAGCAAAATGCAGATGCTTCAAATACAATAGCATCTTGATAGTTTCAGTACTTAATCTTCTTGACCCCATGATTGCCATCAATTTTAATGGTCTGATTATCCCAAAACTTCAGTTATTGCTGACATTTGCATCTGATCGCTTTCAGATACCTTATAAAGTGTTTCAATAGGCCCTTTTCTACTGTTCTACTGCCATTCAAAAACCTGAGGGTTTTTGACAGCTCGCGTAGCGTTTCCGGGAGGTGCGCTTTTGAACAGCCAATAGTTTAGCTAATCATTTTTCAATTAATAGACTAAAAAGATTTCCTTTCATCGAATGCAAAATATATGCAGAGAACTGACATTTTCTTCATATTTAGGAAACTATAAGCACCAGGAGTTTTCAGTCCAACTTGGAAAAACCTTCAGGTGTGCTCTACAAAACTAGCTAAACAGGGGCATTTTTATTAATTTCATATAAAAATAAACAGATCCTTACTTCCCAAAATAAGAAAAAAAGTTTTTGCAGAGCCTAGCCAGAGCCCAGCCATAAGGTGAACTGGTCAAAACTGCTGACAAGTCAATATGCAGGTAGCTGACTCTACACTCCTCCTAAAGACAGAGCGGAAGTTCATTCAATAGATGCCTTATTCAAAGAGTATGCACACTTATGCAAGCAGCTAATGGCTTCTGAGGCTTTCCAGTTTAATTTGACCAAGAATTGCATACATTTCCTGTCCTAATTACACACAATGGACACAATAAAGAAGCAAAAAGAATTCTAAAATTAATTTAGCATCTTTTATATTCCACACTCTTAAAAATTTCGACCCATCTAAAAATATCTTTATATCCACTTGGAATTTAATTAAATAAATCTATAACATCCACCATGCACCGCATTTTTGGTACTTTTGCTTACGTGTATTCTGCATTCATCGTCCACAGGGTAGGAACCGAACAGAGCTTCGTCGTTATCTATTTTCTGTAGGAACACATCCGTTGTGCTAAAAATCTCCAAATCCATGCAGGAAGCAGGAACACCCACATTCATCTCCAGCAGCCCCTGTATGCAAGTACATACAACACTTAGAAGGCAGAATTAAAGGTTCTGTAAATTAAGAGGAGGTTAAAGATGTTATTCATGTGCATTACCTTCAGTTCTGCTATAGTGATTCCTCTATTAAACCTTCGGCGGTTCTCGAAGGAGGAGAGGCTGCTTGTGATACGGACATTCACAAGAGGGTTGGTGACCACAATCACTTCACCAGACATTTTGAAATTGGTCAGGACCCTCTTAAGGAGCAGTGACTAAAAAAAAATAAAAGCATAAATGCCATCAACAGCTCAGCAAGCAGAGTAGGACCAATTTAACAAGGTAATCTTGAAATTTCTGTATTTATTCTGAGGACAGAAAGAACATTTATAGACCAAGACAAAACAAAAAAATAACCAAAAAGACAGAGATCATCGGCTCTCCCATTAGCACTTCTATTTTTAGATGCCTGTGGTTGCAACCAAATCAGACAGTATTTTGGTTTTTTGCAAGTAAAACCAGATGGATATAATGAAACATTCTACTCAAACTGAGTCCCAGAGCACTCTTTACCCCAGAAAATTTTGTTTTGGTTTTGCATAAATCCAAAAAAAAAAAAAAAAAAAAAAACATTATAATCCAATCTGCTGTGTACTTCCTGCATTGCAGTATACCATATGCAATTGGGGAATGAACCATCAAGTGGTTGTCGTACCCAGCAATGACCAGGAAAAACTGGAAGTGCCATCAAGTGCCAACACTAACCCAGCGTAACGGTGCCTTCAGACATGTAGCAGTGGAGGGACAGAGGCCATGCAGCTTGTCAACTAGTGTTAGACCAAGCTTATTTTTTTTTGACAATGGGAAAGGGGACAAACACCAATTGTTAAGCGATCGGCCCGTGTTTGAAAAACCCAGGTCAACATGCTAATTTCAGTGGGAAAGAGACTTTATGGAGCCACACAAAGAGGCACACATCTGCAGTTTTATTAATGCTTGAAACTTCAGAGCTGATTATAGAGCTGAATGAAGATGGAGACTCTGATCACTGATCTGTATTGGATCATGCAAAGACAAGAGAAAAAGGTAAGTGTATTGATGGAATAGATCCTTCCTGTGACAGGTATGTATGTATTTATTTGTTTCTGAGTAAAAAAAAAATGTTTAAGAGATTCTCAACATGTTACACGTTATTATTATGTATTATCGTTATTGACACATCCACGTAGGAAAAAACTAAAGATAATTCTCATGTGAAATGATTTCCCTGTATCACAATATACTATTCTGGAAATGAAAACATCCAACGCACTGTAAAATTTTTACAGTGTTGATAATGTCGAAGAGGAGGTGTGCACTGGTCTGGAGAGGGAGAAGAAGGAGCCATCTATGAAGAACTAAAACTGATTCATGGGGGGTGTTGACGTTTTTGACCAGACGATTGTTTCCTTTTCCTCATGCAGAAAGAGAAGAAAGGTGTTTCTGACAGCTCAGCATTATTTTGTGACTTGGTGGATATTGCTGTAATGAACAACAACCTGCTGCCCCACCAGGCTTACAAGAGCAGTCCCCAACAACTACCAGAGGCCTGTCAGTATATATCCCTGTGGCCATTGCTGAGCTAACATCAGTCTGACCAGTCATCACTGCTCCTCCGATCAGTTTGAAAACTGATCTTTACTCCGTGTTTGTGGCTCCAGTATTGTCAATAATTTATTATAGATAGGGTTAGGATGTTCCTGCTGTTTTTTTAATTCTGCTTTTTAAATCTTGATAAAGAATATAATCTGAATTTGTGTTGGTCTGTTGTAAATTTTCAATACAGGAAAAAAATATATATAATAGTTTTTATTGTTCATTTTTGTTTGAACATTGTCTTGTGAACCTTTAAGTGTCTTCATATGTATCTGTTAAACAAAGATCTGATTTAACTAATCTAAACACCTAACTTTGAAGTACATATAATTTTTTCATAAAAAAAAAAGTAAAGCACATTTAAAGGAGCTTCCAGGTCATATGATCAATTTACCCAAAATCAGTGTGGGATCATAGTACTCCACTGGGTTCATGAGGTACACCTTTTATTTTTGCATTTGAAATCTCTAAATATTTTGTTTTACTTTTTACATATGGGCTAAGTATTAACATTTAAATTCAATAGCTTATAGGCTTCAAAAAGTACACTTTTATTTTGAAAGCAGGAAGTCGGTACACAATGCAGTCGTTTGTTGTGTTTTTTTTTTATTTTTATAATTCCATATTTTTTTCTAAATGTAGTGGTTCCATGTACCTGAAGTTTTATCGAAACAAAATTTTTTTCCAGCAATCACATTGACTTTTTTCTGTCTTTCCCCCTCATTAATTTCATCAAAAATGACCTTAGAAGCACTATGGGTTTGCTAGCTAAACAGTGGGAAGCAACAGTAGTCACAATGGAGCCGTTGAGACGCCTCGAATTAACCAGTTTTACCGCATTTACTTACATATAGGTTCTTTTTCCAAGCAGTAGAAACGAAATGCCTTGATGAAAGCGGATAACGATGTTGGTTTGAAGAAACTGCGTTCTAACTACCACAGTAAAACAAAAATGGTGAGCTCTGCATTGCTTTGAATGTACGCCATGAGACTCAAACTCCAATTCCTGCAACGCCCTGCTCTGGAAGCTTCTATCCGCCTCGGCTGGAACGAACCAATCAGATTAGAGAGGGACGAAGCTCAGCCAATGGAATCATGGATACGTACATCAGGAGGACGGGCCGTTTATTTAGTGGCTGATAAAGACAACCAATCAAAAGAAGGAGCTGAGATGACCACGTGGTAGGACGAACGCAAGACAATGCATAAATATGCTGTATTTATTGACTAAGACACTGATTGTTGTCATTCTTTTGGAATATTTTTTTATATCAAGAACATGATGGCTAAAATAAGTTGAACAAGTAGTTTAAAAAATACAGATATTTTTAAAAAGGAAAGTATAGCAGAACATTAAAATATAACTATTTTTGTTTGTGATGCCAAAAATGGATACGTTTAAATTCTAATACGGTTTTAAAGGTTGTAAAATAATGTCTGGAATTTCGTTTTTCCAAGTACCCTACATGTAATTAATCATCTGCGACTTTAGGGGGCGCTTTTTATACTCTCTACTGAGAGTCTTATATTTTTACCCCATAAAACAGATGTAGCTACTGGAACCTAAGTTAAAGGACTTCAGTTAGGGTTGAGAAGTATTTATTTATTGGTCAATTCCAAAATGCGACCCCAATATTAGATACACTGATCCCTCCGGCCCTGCTGTCCTAATGAGCACTGACAGCACAATGTGAAGCAACTACTGTATAGCACAAACTAAGTTGTGGAAAGTCACAAAATAAGGGATATTTTCATTAGTTTTATCTGAGATTTTTTTTTTACAGAAAAGAGAAATTGCTAAAATTTCAGATAATCATTTCAATTTCAAATATAAGATTAAGAACTTCTTTTTTCTGTTTCAGTTACAATATTTGAATTTAAAAAATACAAGATAAAAAAAAATGTTTGGATCCTGTACCTTTTAACCCCATTCACTATTACTGCATAGATTATGGTGGCAGGAAAATGAAGGGGCTAAGAAAAGAACCTCATTAACCTGCATCTGTGAAGTGAATGTTTACATTCCTTTTGTTGAAAATCCAGATGCAGGGCTCCATAGATCTTATTACATTGTGATAACAAGTATTGATAGCCATCTTTAGGGTAAGGTTTCAGGAAAAACTCTTCATATGGTCATTCATTTACCTTTACATTATAAAAATGCATTATAGTTGAAAATTAGACTAATAATTATCAGCTGCAAAAATAATCTGGAACACGTACCTATTTTGGACCTGTAGATCTACCTCTGTATGAACAAAGTAAGGAAAATCTTCCTCACTTATATCAAAAACATTAAAATATTCATTTGTTTTAAGTATTTTATCGAACTGAAAAAAAAATAGACGATAAGAAACTAAAGTATTCTATTGTACTGTTTGTGGTTGTGCTTGGGCAGCTTCTTCTCATCTAGCACTGATGAAGGCCTGTCCTGTGAACCAAACCAACAAAAAAAAATAAATAAAAAATAAAATAAAAAAATGTCTTGGTTGATGTTGGAGACTGGTTGCAAAATCTTGAAATTTTAAAGTGCGTTATTAAATATTTGCTCTGCAGTAGAGGTGGGCGGATCGATCTTAGGATCGATACTATCGATATCAACTTTGGTATTGATATCGAACAATATTGGTTAAACAAGATCGATACTTTTTCTTCTCTCCCACACTCACTAAATGCAGCAGACTGACCAGTCTGCCCGCCTGTGTTACATAACTTTGCTGCTCGCCCCTCTCGTTAGCGGCTCAGCACGCAGGCTCAGCCTGGCCCCGCCCACTCAGCTCTCTCTCCGCTCGACACATATAACTGCGCTGCTGCTCCACAGCAGAGCAGAAAAACATGAGGAGGGAAAGAAGCAGCGTTTGAATATATTTAAAAAATGTAAATAAAACAGTGGCAAGCTGTATGGGTTGTAAAAAAAAGCTTAAATGCAGTGGAAACACAACAAGTGTATATAAGCACATGAAAACCCAACACCAGCAAGAAAACATTGAGCTACAGAAACAGAGAGAAGAGACAAAACTTCGCTCATTGCCCCAATAAATAAATACATAAAGCCTAAATGTTAAAAAGTATTGGTATTGTATTGATATCAGCGATACTGACTCTGTATTTACTTAGTATTGTATCGATTAAAAATTCCTGGTATCGCCCACCTCTACTCCGCAGATAACTTATCCCTCTCTCTTCCAGTGGAATATGTTTTAGGATTAAAAGACTCCTCAGGGGAATAGTTTTTCCACTTTGTATTAAACTGAATATTTTTATTTGCATTTTTACTGTTTCTTGTTGTGTGTAGAGTTAGAAAAGAAAAATACATAAGAAATATTTCTAAATAATACTTTTGTGCATTTATTTAAAAAATATGTCAGACTCAGCATTGTAAAAGCTTTAATTCTGGGGTAATTTTGAAACAAAAACATTAACC